CTGTCTCTCCAGCAAACACATGCACCCTATAGAAAAAAAAATCCCTCTCTAAAAAAAAAAAAAGAACATGGAAATGGAGATGGAAAACAGAAGATATGGCCCTGTGTCAGAACAGATGAACAAGGTATGTAATAAAATCTTCCACACAGCTGAGTATTCTGATCCTTGGTCCATGGTAAGGTCCCTTGGCCCTTCACTGTAAGTATCTTCCCATCTTGTCTCTCAGACTGGACTGAACATAGTCCCTCTTGGAACTCAACTTTCTGAAATAGTATCTACAATGTGGCAGATGCTCCACTAGGCAATGAAAGTGAAGATTTTGGTTGTTTGCTGCAAGATCATCTCATCGTATACACCCAAAAGCCCACAAATAATTTCTACCCACTGGCATGTGGGTTTTCTCAGCTAAGAGCCAGAACCACAGGAAGGTCATTTCTTAGTACCCATAACAGGAGGCTTTCCCCTGGGCTCATTTAGCAATCAGGTGCAGAGCTTTTTTCTAAATCCTGCTTGACCCAGGAACACTGCCTTCACATAAAGCAGAGTCTTGAGGAAGAGAAGAGCAGCAAAAGCCATTCTGTCTTCACACCCAAATCCTTGGGGATTACACTTCTCATCATATCGTGACAGGAAAAGCCAAGACACAAATCCCTCCATTGTAAAACCACGTGGGAAGTGAGCCAGCCCGTGTTTGAGAGCCTCATTCACAATATCTCTCTGATCTCCAGAATCTTCACTCATCATCCTGATACCTGTGGTTCCTCGCCTGCAAAACCATGGGGCAAGCCTCCTGGCTGCTACTCTCTCCTTGCTGGGAGAGCAGGAGAGGCGGCTACCAGCTCCAGCTCGTTGATAGAGGGCACTTCTCAGCACTTTTCTTATGGTAAAATTCTTTATTCAAAAAAAAAAATTTTGTTTTACAATAATTAAGGTTACTGCAATTAAGCATCATGCTTTTTGTCCACACAGGCCAGAGGTAAAAAGCGAGTTGGAGGTGGGAGCAGACAACGGCAGTAAAATACACTACTATGCAAGGCAAAGTCACATGGCAAGGTTGCCAGTTCATGTACAGAGACCTCCCTGAGTACACTGGGCATGCATGTGGCCGCGATCCTGGCTGGCTGAAATCAGAAGTAGCTTACAGCTTCAGCACCCTGGGAGTGCTGTCTCTCTTTATTTCTCTCTTGGTCTCATTCACCTCTAGAATAAATAAACTTAGAAAATATATATGAAGGGAAAAAAAGAAATCGGGAAAGGAAAAACACAGTAATGATGCTAAATATCTTCATAACAGATGGAACCCTGGGTCTGGGTTCCTGGCAGGGGCTGAGAGTCTGAACTAAGCAAGGAGTCTGAAGGGGGGTGGTGTGAGAGGGAAATGTTATTTGCATGTTATCTTCCCCCACTCCCCACTCCCATTTTATGGAACTGAGTGGATCTCCGAGACAAACTGAAATCAGTGCTACTAAACTATTACAATCACAGGGCATTCGGGTAGGAACAGACACAGAGAGAGACTCCACCCGCTGACACCTGGAAGAGCAACTAGGTGCTTAATCACTGCAGTATGGGGCCAGCCCTTTCATGCCTGGCTAGGAGTAAGAGAATTTGAAAGGTAGAGTAGGATGCCTGGATAAGCATATTGACTTAAAAACATGATGCCAATGGCTTTGATCATGTCCGGTGAGGCAGCTGTGGAAGTTCTGACTTGACTTGCAAAGATACTAGGATCTGGTTCTGATGCCCCCATTCACCTGGGTAGTGGGAATTATCTTTCTATTTGTGGATCAGGAAACTGAGACTTGGAGAGATGAAACAAATTACCCAGGTTATATATCTGGTGAATAACAGGGCCAGAATTAAATCTAAGGCATGTGCCTTTTGGTATCACATGTGTCCCTTTCGCCTGATGTTTTAAACATGTCTAGAAAGGGACTGGAGCTCTGGGCTTCCAGATTAAAAGACAGATGTGGACTGACTGGTTGTGCATGGAAGTAGCAACTCTCACGATTCTGGTGGCTGCAAAGTCCTACAACGTGGCTACAGAGAACAGTGGGCATGGGTAGAGACTGGAGAGCTTCTGACAGTTCTCTTATTTGTAACAACTCTTGTGAGAACTAATGCCTTCTCATGAGAGTTAGAACTCACTGGGTCTCACAGGACAGCAGCAACCTATTCAGGAGGGCATTGCCTCCGTGATGCAATCGCACAATCCAGTCACTGCCCTCTTGCTTCTACCACCCCACAGCACCATAGTCCAGACCATGAAACTTTGGGGACGAACCATCATTCAAACCATAACTCGTGCACTTGCCTAGAGTCCAAAGGAGACTGAGGTTTCCTCTCCCTGAAAGGCACTTGTCACCTTGGCTTCTCATGTGGAATATACAAGGAGGGCTACGTAGTTGGAAGACGGCAGTACAAAGTGAAAATAGGAGCCCTTTCCAAGAAGTAATATTACTGACCTAGAATGCTTTGTCCTGTCCTTTGTTCTCCCTCTCCATCTTTCATGGTAGAAGGGGGTCTTCAAAAAGTTCATAGAAAATATGTACTATGAAAAAACTATTCATGGATTTCAAAATTTTGTGCACCAAAATAAATTCACTTTAATTTCATTTTTCCACATCCTTTTAGAAGTACTGTCTTTTTTTTTTTTTTTTTTTGATTTACTGTTTAGTGGTGTGTTCCCCAGCATGAAGATTGTCACCCGAGTGGCCGCAGATGCTGGCAGGCACCTTAGAGTACTTCCTGCTCTGCTACTTGTTAGGTGCACAAGTCACCCGTCCACTGCAGGGGTAGGGATGGGGGCAAAGGTGTCTTTTGTCTCCTTGCTGTACCTCTAAAATGAAGCGATTGTTCTCTACTTTCCCATAGCTACTGGGAGGCAGCGACACCTGCACATACACATACATGTTTGCTAATGCTCTTTTGGAGATGCCAGAGGATTAATGTCACTGGCTGAGAAATCTTAATTGGCCTTAAATAGCAAACTTGAGAGTTCAGAAGGGATTTTGTTAATGATTTCATTCTAAAGGTAGAGTTCACTATTGCTTAACCTTTGCTGTGAAGGTAATTTCTCAGCCCCACTATTCTTTTAAGAAGGTGAAATCATTCTCTTTCTGAAGAGCCTACCAATAAAAGACGTCCTGTCTTCTGTTATGCCTCATTTCTTCTCAGTGGCTATCCCTCTTCCCTCCAAAAAAAGGTTGTCATAGGAAATAAACTCATTGGATTTCCCACTTGACATCTGAAATAATTTTTAAAATATATTTTATTCATAATAGACGACAAATACATGTGCACGAGAGAAACAGAGAGAGAGCAGCCCTCAAAAGGGCCTGGTCACCCTTCCATCCTTTTTCCTCTAACTCTCCATTCCATCAAGATCCTGGGCATGCACACGCGTACCTGGTATGTTTTTCAAGTTCCTAGAGCCAGGTCTCACACCCTGGCCATCCCTGTGGGATCTGACTTCCTCTGTGCAGCTTAACCACTGCAGTATGGGGCCAACCCTTTCATTCTTTTTGTAAAATTAGGCTATGATTCACAGAATGGAGGCAAAGTTTCCTGCCTAATAATTTTTTGGAAGTCCTGTGGCGTTCCAGTCCAGCTTCATTATTACAGCCACTACATAGTTTTGGTTGTGTACATGTTGTGTACTAAACTGTGTTCCCTCAAAATTCATCTGTTGAAGTCTTTAACCTGCCCCTCCAAAGGTGACCAAAGTTAAAGATAAGGCCTTTAAAGGGGTAGCTAAGGTAAAATTAAGGTCACGGGAGTGGGCTCTAACCAGCATTACAAAAATGAGCCTGGACACAGGCATCACAGCGGGAAGATCACCTGAAGACAAGAGAAGACGGCACTTACAACCCAAAGAGGCCCCAGACTTTCAGCCCCCAGAACTGGAGTGAAGTAAATTCCTCTTATTTAAACTATCAGTCTGTGTCGTGCAGCCCTAGCAAATAGATATGAGTTTATTTTGTACCCGTTCAATTTACGACTCTTTTTAATCCTTAGAAAAAATGTTAAAAATCAACCTTACCGAACATAATTTTCAGACAATAAAATGTATCTATTCTAGGTGTGTGGTTCAATGAATTTTGACACATGCATACACCAATATAAAATACCACAATCAAAAAAAAATGTATGCAACCCAGAACGTTCTTCATGCCCACTTGCTCAGTATAACATTTTTTGGATTCACCCACATTATGACTCTGTCAATAGTTGGTTCCTTGTTACTGTGGAATTGTGTTCCCACTGCGTGGATAACTGTAATGTGTCATTTTATACACTTGTTTGTGGAAGGTGTATAAATAGGCTATTTTAAGTCTAGGGCCATGGGTAAAGCTGCCATGAGCATTGTTATGAAAATATTCATGTGAATATCTGTTTTTATTTCTCCTGGGTAAATGCTAGGAGTAGATTTGCTGGGTTGTATAAGAAATATATTCCTACGTGTTTTTTTTAAAAAAAAAAGAAAGAAAACAAAAGAGAAAACCTGTTAAACTTATTTTCAAAGTTTTTTTACTTTCCTACCAACTTTACCTTCTTAAGGCATTTAAACAATTACATTTTGCTTTCCCACCAATTATGAAGGCGTAGTTAAGTGTTTTATAACCTTGCTCATCTCACATTGAGTTTTTAAATGTTTTAGCCACTCAGACAGATGTGCAGCGGTTTGCATGTTGATTTTACTAATAATAGATTTTCACTAATAATGTTTAGCATTTTTCCATGTGCTTATTGTGTACTTGTGTATATTCTTTAGAGAAATACCTGTCAAATCTTTGCTATAGGGTGCATGCACTCACTGGAGAGAGATACAGGGAGAGAGAGTGGAAAAGTGAGAAAGCACCCACCATGGGGCATCGTCACACCATAATCCCTTCTCCTTAATTTCTCTTTTCAGGACTTTGGTCATACACACACACACACACACAGCATGTTTCTCTCAACTCACCAGGTCCGAAACTCGAACCACAGTCAGCTGTGTGGGATTCAGCTGCCTTAACTGCCACGTCATTGGCTGATCCTTTTTGCCCATTCTTTTTTTCCACAGGGTACGTGCTCTCTTGAGAGAGAGAAAGAGAGAGAGAGAGAGATCACTCCCTTAGGGAAGATGGCCACACTACAATCCTGTCTGCATTCTCCTCTCAGGATTTTGGGCATGCATGCACATATACCCAGTGTATTTTTCAGGTCACCAGGTCTGGGACTTGAGTCATACAATTGGCCATGTGGGATCCAGCACCTTAACCACCATGCCACCTGTTGGTCTCCACAGATGTCTTTCAGCGGGTCATGGAAGTGTCCTTTTATTTTAAGTTGGTTGATAGTTTTTATTTTGAATAGATGTTGAATTTTGTCTGATACTTTTTGAAAAATCTGTGGAATCAAATTTTTTTTTCCCTTTAGTCTGCTAATGTGATGAATAAAATCAACTGACTTTTCAACTGTTAAACCAAATTTTAATTTCTTAGATAAACACAGCTTCTGTCAACATTTCAGATGCTGCTGTCAAAGCTAATCAGAGTTAAGTGCTGCTTCTTTTTCAGAAGCCCGCACACCCTCTGTGGGCCCGTCCTCTGAGACTGTTGTGTGCAGGCTCTGGAGGTCTGAGGACCAAGGATTCAGGGCTGACTTTCTGAGCAACTAGTTTCTGCTAATCTCACTTGCTCATTTTCTCCTTCCATCCTTACAGGTCATGATGCTTTCAAAGAACTATGGCTGTTTAGGCACCAGATGTGGCCCAAAAGTAAAACGTGATGCTCTGTGAGGAAATCCTACCTGGGAGGGTTCCTGGTTCAAGTCTTAAGCCCACTCTGGGTACACCAGGTACACACACGCCCATGACCTGGGGCTGATCAACAGCTCGGAGTGGATCCCAGCATCAAGACATAATTAGAGGGACCAGCAGTTAGCGTAATAGCTATGTCGCTGGACTCCCACGTAGTCGACCGCGGTTCAAGTCCTGGAGTCAGTGGCTTAAACTTATGCCGGGCGCGTGTGAGTGCATGCCCAAGATCCCGAGAGGAGAATGGAGGAGAAGGGATTGTGGCTTGGCCATCACCTCCTGGGGGTGATTTCTCGGTTTCTATCTCTCTGACTCTCTTTGTCTGTCTTGGCGAGCACACACGCCCTATAGCAAAAACCTCTCCAAAAAAAAAAAAAAAAAAAAAAAAAGAAAGAAAGAAAGAAAGAAAGAAAGAAAGAAAGAAAGAAAGAAAGAAAAAAATAATAAAACGAAAGATAATTTTAAAAAAAGACATAACTGGAGACGCTGTTCATCTCTCCCTTGGTTTTTATACACACACACACACAAACACACACACACACACATACATACACATACAAACGACTGTCCCAGTTGGACATACTTTAGAGATCACTTACTATCATTTTCCAGCCAATGCATGAATTCTTGCTACAATATCATCTATCCTTGGCTTGAAACCACTTGGGACAGGAAATCCAAATGCGAAGGAGAAAATGAGGCGAGTCGAGAGGAAGTGCTGTACAGTTGGGGCTCCAGTTTTCCTGAGCACTGACAGCAACTTATCGTTTCACCTGTCTCAATGGTCTTTCAAGCTGAGTTCTGCAAACTCACAGGGACATAATCTCATGATTCCACACATTCTCTATGGAAATGAGAAAAACAGTTTATGTCTATGGCATTCTTAAAAAAATAAAAAAGTAATATAGGCCTAGTCTGCAAGATTTTCATGACTGCAGAGCACTTACAATACTACCATATATATTTTATAATATGTATTTATGATTATTAGTTTTTAAATTTGATCAGAGAGAGACAGACAGAAAGAGAGAGGGAAAGCAAGAGAGCAAGCCACCATGTCTGGGACACGAACCATGTCAGCCATGTGGGAGTCCAGCACCTTAAGCACTATGCCGCCTGCCTGCCCACTACCATGTATTTTTGACACCAGCATTCATTTTATTTATATTTGCCTTGTAGTTGAGAGCTTATTTTTGGTTGGGAACAAAGATACTGGGTGGAGGGCACCTGGCTGGAATTCCAAATCAAGTCACTATGTGATGACTTCGGGAAAATTACTTTGTCTTTCTGTACCTCAGTTTTCTCCTCTATATCACGGAAAAAATTAAAGACTCTCCTTTCTAGGACTGTTAAGAAGAGAAACTGAATTAATATATTAGAACGGTGCCTAGCACATAGTAGGTTCTCTATAAATGTTTGGTAGTGCCATTAAAAAGCACCAACTTAGGGTGGACAAGGTGGCTCTGGGTCCCACATGGCCGAATGCAAGGTTAGAGTCCCAGACCTGGCAGCTTGAAAAACGTACCAGGCCTGTGTGCACATGTGCCCAGAATCCTAAGAGGAGAAGGGATTGTGGTGTGGCCACCCCCCTTGGAGGTGATTTCTAATTTCCCTTTCTTTCTGTCTCTCTCTTTCTCTCTCTCTCTGTCTCTCTCTAGTGAGCACGCCCACCCAACAGCGAACTAAGAAAAAAAAAAAGAAAGAAAAAAGGGAAAAATGAGTAGAAATTTAATTATTGCCAGTTATTAACAGAGGCAAGCGGACTTAATAAGAACCTTATCATTATGTACTAAGTGAAGACTAAACACCATCCAAGCACATTTTACAAGGATTAATAGTCCCTGTAATAGATAAAAGAGGCAAGAGAATTAAGTAATTATATGGCATAGAGTACTGTAAGCATATCCCACAACACGGAGAGCGGCCATTTAGTTTCAGCAAAATAATACCCTTTGTCATAGTAATGTTAATTTAAATTTTACTACTTTTATTGTTTGCCTATACTTCATTTTAAATTGGTTTCCTATTTATACATCATAAAGAATGAGAACATATGGAGTTTATGTTTAGTTTCAAAATGTACATATTTAAATGACATGCTACTAAAAATAATTAGTCAACACTGCAAGTCCATGAAATACTTTTTGCCTGTAAGGTAGGTCCATGCACTATTGAAAATTGAGATATACAATACAATGAGGCCAATTTTCCTAATAAAACGCTGTCCCTGGTGGGCCAGATGCAAGACGGGTCACTGTCATCAAAGGCTATCACTGCAGGCCGACCTTGAGGGGGACGATGGGGGCCACTCGAAACTCCTGAGCCAGCAAAGCTCAGCCCCACATTCAGAATTCAAAGATAAAATTGGAAGAAGACATATTTAGCACTTAAGATGGAAGAAAAAGGAAGACAAGAGACCAGTGGGGTGATACAGAGCTAGAAAACGCTTGAGTGTCTTTGAAACAGAAGCTAGCCAGGACAGTGGCCATGGAAGTAGGAATCCGCCAGGGAGTGTGTAACAACTCATCTGCAGAATCAACTAGCCTTAGAAATGGATGGGGCTAGAAATTAAAAAAAAAAAAAAGAAAGAAAAGAAAGAATGAAAACCAGAAACCAGCTGCCCACATAACAAGAATGTCTTTGAAAACCTGAAACGAGTTACCGTCAAAACAATTCCTTAAATGGATGAGGGAAATGAGGTTGGGCATGTCAATAACTTGCCTAAGTTTGCAGAGCTAGAGAGTGGTCTCCACCGGGCTGCCCGGCTCCAGCTGGTCATTTTGCATATGGCTTTGCTCTTGAGAGCCACAGAGAAGCGCTGAGAATGCCTGCCCAGGAATTCCAAAACAAAAACTTTTTTTGAAGAACAAGAACGGAAGAGACCTTCTGGGTACTCTCTGGCTTCAGATGCACAGAGGGAAGGGACCCGCAGGCTGAGTTACTGTGATGGTTCATTTCGTATGTCGGAGTGACTGAGCCGTGGGATCCCAGATTGCTGGTTAAACGTTATTCTTGGGCATGTCTGTGAGGGCGTTTCTAGAAGAGATGAACAATTGAGGTGATGGGCTGAACAGAGTAGACGCTGCTCTCCAGGGTGAGTGGGTGTCATCCATCTTGTCAGGAGCCTGGATAGACCCGAAAGGTGGAGGAGGCTGAGTGAGCGCTGCCTGTTAGAGCTGAGACACGATCTTCACGTGCCCTCCACACTCCTGTTCTCAGCCCGTCAGGCAGGACTGGCAGCCACAGCACCAGCTCTGTGGCTCTCGAGCATCCAGGGTACACTACAGATGTCCTGGGTCACCAGCTTGCAGACAGCAGGCTGTGGGACTTCTCCGTCTTCATGACCACATGAGCAATATGTTACAATAGCTTTCTTTACACACACACACACACACACACACACACACACACATATGTATATGTACCTTTACGTGTGTGTGTGTGCTGTGGTGTCTATCTATCCCCTGTCTTTCTTTGGAGTCACCTTCTGGAGGCAGCTGGAGAGGCTTGGCTTCCAACATCTGACAGCTCTCACTGCAGCTGAAGCTGGTGGAACATTTCCACCACAAGTTTCTTTCTTTAAGCTCACTCTCTTAAGGAGGAATCACTGGCCATTTATTTTCACAAGTGGGTTCGTGACCTCAAATAGTTATAGATTCAAATATGCCTGGGAAAAGTAGGCTTTCCCTCCTCAGTTTACATGCCATTTTTCTGCTAAGGAAACAGAGGTGCTCCTGTCTTCCTGCTGGGAGAATCTTTTTCTCCCAGGATAAAGTGGCTGCTAGAAAAGAAGCACAGCGCCTCCCTCTCCCGCCACCCACAGATTTGCATTTTTCTTGTTCTCCACTAGAAAACAGACACACTAAACTTTTCATCTCAAAAATACACATGATAACTTAGAATTGAAATCCCCCAAGACCATTAATTTTCACAAAGCCCAGTCCCCAAATGCAGAGTCTGCTTTTGTGACATGTTGTCAACTCTCTTCCCAGGGGCTTCCAGGGACACTGGACAGCCTGGTTCCTCTGAGCCCAGGCTCCTCCAGCTTCCTCTCTGTGCAGGGTAAGAAGCAGGGAACGTTCTACCCCTGGCTTCACCCTATGGGTAAGGCAGCTGTGGTTTCTGTGGAGCGCAGTTAACATAAATATTTTCAAATGATTGATAGTCTGGAAAAGCTTCCTTTTTTTTTTAAGTTTTACAACTCATTTTAGTTAATATTATCTAAATTTAAAAAAACTGTCAAATTTAGGGCCTGGCAGATGACATGGTGGTTAAGGGCACTGGACTCCCACATGGCCGGCCGTGATTCGAATCCTGAACCTGGCAGCTTGCTTTCTTCTCACTTTCCCTCTCTCTCTCTCACCTTGTCCCTCTCAAGTCAAATTAAAATAAATAAAATTAATTAAATAATTCTTTTTTAAAAAAGGAAAAAAATTGTCAGATTTAGGAAAAATCTATCACACTGTAAACCGGAAAGTTTTCCCATAGATTCTTGCTGGCTCTGTCCATCCCAAGCTTTGCCTCTCTACCAGACCCCACGCCCTGCTGGTGCTGCACCACCAAAGACATTCACATCACGTGATCTCTGTGCATGCCTTGATTCCCGCCTCCCCCAGCTGAGGCAGCACAGAAGGCTATCGGATTAGTCCTGGATGCTACCTCTACCCCAGCAATGGCTAACCATGATTTAGCTGCAACCACCCTGAATATAAAACACCAATCCCAGGTCTACTGTGTCCCAACTCAGCCTCCCCTCAGGATTCCCAAACTGCCTGTGGCCATACTCACACCACTCAACATGCAGGAGAGTGTGGGAACAGAGACCCTGATGGAGAAAAGAGTGGTCTGAACTGAGTGCAGCTGACTGTCAAATGTCGCAAATATCACAAGACATGTGATCACACAGATGCGCTCCCAGAGCTCTCGCCAGGAAGGGCCTGATGCAAATGAGCCCTGAAGCTCTAGCTTCATTAGCTTCACTCATCTGTCTCTGCCAGGCATTCAGGGTGTAAGAATTTCTTACACTTTTTTTTTAAGTTTATATATTTATTTCTTCCATGAACTAGAGACACAGAGTGAGAGAGAGAGAGAGAGAGAGAGAGAGAGTGCATCCCCAACCGCAGGCTGACTTGGGACCCACTCCCATCTTTAGCTGGCCTTAGACCCTGGCATGTGCATGCTGAGTGCACTCAGGGAGGAACCTGGAACCTTCTGGGAGGGTCAAGCTCCCAGATCACCACACTTGACTTCTGTGCTACCATTTCTTATTCTTCATGGTCCATTTTTCTTCAGTCTTCATGATGTCTTTAAAGATGTCAAAATACTAGGGACCAGCAGGTGGTGTAATGGTTACATGGTTGGACTCTCACATAGTCAACTACAGTTCAAGTCCCAGATCTGGCAGCTTAAACTCATGCTGGGCACATGGTGTGCATGACCAAGATCCCAAGAGGAGAATGAAGAAGGGATTACAGTGTGGCCATCCCCCCCCGGGGGGTGATTTCTTGCTTTCTGTCTCTCTGTCTCTCCCTGTCTCTCCAGCAAGTGCATGCTCCCTATACCAAAAATATCTCAAAAAAAGAGTTGCTGAAATACTTCTAATTTTATTTTGTTACTAAGTGGCCTTCCTAGATTGCTGGGATAGATCATTAGCCATTTAATTTCTATTTAAATATTTCAACTTTGCTGTTATTGACCCTCATGCATATTACAGTTGCTTGTTAGAGAAACAGGATTTGAAAGGTCTTGTGCTTTTATGACTATTGATATGAGGTCTCAATTTGAAAAAAAGGCTTGTAGTTTCTGACTGAGGCATTGTAAATTTATGGCAAAAACATCTCTGGT